AATATTGCATCTAATAAATATCCTTATTTTGTGTCATTTGTGGATGATTACTCTCGTGTAACTTGGTTGTTTTTGATGAAAGCTCGGTCTGAATTATTCTCTATATTTGAGACCTTTCATAAAGAAATAAAAACTCAGTATAGTTGTCATATACGTATTTTACGTTTTGATAATGCTTGAAAATATGAATATGATCCTTTTTCAGCTTATCTTAGTAAAGCTGACATTATTCATCAAACTTCTTGTACTTACACATCTCCACAGAACGGTGTTGCTGAACGCAAGAACCGTCATTTGTTAGAAGTCACACGTACCCTGTTATTTCAGATAAATATCACCCGATATTTTTAGAGTGATATTGTTCTTACTGCTTGTCATCTTATTAATCGTATACCATCTTCTGTGTTAAATGGACAAAGTCCATATTCCGTCCTTTTTCCTGATAAGCCCTTATTTTTTCGGACTCCTAAGATTTTTAGATGTGTCTGTTATGTTCACAATTTGGACTCTGGGTTTGACAAACTTGACCGTCGAACTACCAAATGTGTATTTCTTAGTTACTCCCGCACGCAGAAAGGGTATCGTTGCTACAGTCCTTCTTTGCACCTATACTTTACTAGTGTCGATGTCACATTTGAAGAATTTGTTCCATACTTTCCAGCACCTTTTTAGCCTTTGGATCTGGACATTGGATCATTTCCTGTACCACCATCTCTTTCCTCATCTTCAGATATCCCGCTGTCCACTGTGTTACCATCTACTTTACCTCTCCATGTCTACTTTCGCCGTCCTCGCCCATCAACTGAGGTGTCCGTACTGTCTTCCTTGCCGCCTTCTGATCCTGATACATCAGGTAATTTAGAATCTTTACCTATTGTTCTTTGCAAAGGTACTCGTTCGTGTGTTACTAACCATCCTATTTCTCATTTTGTTTCATATGATGCCTTGTCTCCTGTCTTCTCCTGTTTTACTTCCCAATTATCTGCTATATCTATTCTTAAGCATTTACAGGATGCATTATTTGATCCAGGTTGGAGAAAAACTATGGAGGAGGAGATGGATGTTTTACATCATAATGGGACTTGGGATCTCGTTCCTTTACCCCCTGGTAACGAACTGTTGACTGTCATTGGCTGTATATTGCTAAATTTCATTCAGATGATTTTGTTGAGTGTCTTAAAGCCCGACTTGTTGCAAAAGACTTTACTCAGACTTATGGTGTTGATTATGAGGAGACTTTTTCTCTTGTTGTCAAAATTTCCTCTGTTCGTATCTTGATTTCTTTGGTTGTTAATCTTGATTGACCTTTATTTCAGCTAGACGTCAAAAATACCTTCTTACATGGTGACTTAGTTGAAGAGATATACATGGAACAGCCACCTGGGTTTACTACTCAGGAGGAGTATGGTAAGAGTCTATGTCGGTTAAAGAAATCTTTGTATGGTTTGAAATAATCACTGAGAGTATGGTTTGGTAAGTTTTCAGATGCAATTTTAGAGTTTGGTTTTCTTCGATGTCAGACAGATCACTCTGTGTTTCATAGACAGACAGATGTTGGATATGTCCTATTGGTGGTTTATGTAGATGATATTGTGATTATTGAAAATGATTCTGAGGGGATTGCCAAGTTAAAAATATTCTTACAGGATCGATTTTATCCTAAAGATTTGAGAAAATTCAGGTATTTTTTGGGTATTGAGGTGGCTCGATCTAAACAGGGTATTTATTTATCCCAGAGAAAATATGTACTTGACATGCTTGAGGAAGCAGGTTTGCTGGGTGGTAGACCGATTGATGTTCCAATGGATCCGAATCAGAAATTATTGATGGATGATGGTATATTGTTGGAGAATCCGGGTCGGTATCGCAGATTGGTTAGAAAGCTTAATTATCTCAGTATTACTCGACCGGATATTTTCTATGTAGTCAGTATAATAAGTCAGTTNCAATGGATCCGAATCAGAAATTATTAATGGATGATAGTGCATTATTTGAGAATCCGGGTCGGTATCGCAGATTGGTTGGGAAGCTTAATTATCTCACTATTACTCGACTGGATATTTCTTATGCAGTCAGTATAGTAAGTCACTTCATGGGATGTCCTAGAGTACTACATTGGGAGGCAGTTACTCGTATTTTGCGATATCTCAAACGAGCTCCTGGACTTGAATTGTTATATCGAGCTAATGGACATCTTAGAGTGGAAGGTTTCTCAGATGCTGATTGGGCTGACTCTCCTTTTGATTGGAGATCAACCACTGATTATTGTATTTTCTTAGGAGGTAATGTTGTCTCATGGAAAAGCAAGAAACAACCTGTGGTAGCANTCTCAGAGGCTGATTGGAGTGGCTTTCCTTCGGATCAGAGATCAACCACTGGTTATTGTACTCTCTTAGGAGGTAATGTTGTCTCATGAAAAAGTAAGAAACAACCTGTGGTAGCAAGATCCAGTGCTGAGGCTGAGTATAGGGCAATGACACATACGACGAGTGAGTTGACTTGACTACTACACTTTCTCCAGGAAATTGGATATTCAGTTCAACTTCCGTTACAGTTGTTCTGTGACAACCAGACAACTATCCATATAGCTGTCAATCCTGTGTTTCACGAGAGAACCAAACATATTGAGGTTGATTGTCATTTTATTCGGGACAAGATAGTAGATGAGAGATTACAACTCTATTTGTAAAATCTGAAGATCAGCTTGCAAATATGTTTGCCAAAGCATCGAGTCACGTCTTACAGCTATTTGTTCCAAGCTTAAATTATATGATATATATAGTCCAACTTGAGGGGGAGTGTTAAGAATAGTAGAGTAGTATGTGTAAATTGTTAATAGTAAGAAGGTGTATGTGTAATTCTTATTATTGTAGGTTAACTATAAATACAAATATGTATGTGAGTTAGGTTAAGTTTTTAACCTCTCTGTTTCTCTCTAATATTGTGTTAATCCTCTAAACTTAACAAGTTTGATTTGGGAAGTGTAAGATAAAGAAATGGTTCTTGTGGCTAATGAGGTGGTGGAAGATTTTAGAGTTAAGAGATAAGGAAGGTTTTGTCTTAAAAATTAGTTTTTAAAAGGTTGATAATCATGTGGATGTATAGGAGGTGAAAGGATTTGGAGATAAATTGAGGAGTTGGATGATAGGATGTTTACAGTCTATGAATTTCTCCATTATGCTTAATGGGAAACCTAGTAGTATATTTCTAGCTTCTAGAGGACCGAGATAAGGTGGTCCCTTATCTCCTTTTTTTTGTTTACTCTAGTTGTAGATGGGTTAAGTAGATTATGAAAAGAGAACAGAGAGAGAATTTGGTAGAAGGTTTTGTTGTGGAAAAAGACAATATAGAGGTGTCTCATTTGCAATTTGTCGATGACCTAATATTCTTTTCTATTGGGGATGTGGAGAAAATTTTAAATTTTAAGAATATTGTGGAGGTGTTCGACATTGTTTCAAGACTAAAGGTTAATATCTACAAGAGTGTCCTTGTGAGTATAAATTCACATTTGGATAAGATTAGTATAGTGGCGGGCTTTATGGGATTTAGGGTGGGGGAATGGTCTCCTACGTATTTCTGTTTGCCATTGGGTGGGAATCCCATGTCTTTATCTTTTGGCAATCCAGTAATTGAAAGAGTAGAAAAAAGATCAGATGGATGGAAGACAGCTTTTATCTCTAGGGAGGGTATGTTAACAATGGTGCAACATGTCTTAGCTAATATTCCTACCTATTTCTTATCTTTATTTAGGAAGTCAATTAAGATTGCTATAAAAACTGAAAAAAAGATTAGGAATTTTTTCAAGGAAGGAAGTGGTGAGGACATAAAGGGCCATTTGATTGGATGGGGGACTATTTGCAAATCTCGGCATAAAGGCAATCCCTCAATTCGTAATTTGAAGGTAAGAATATTGCTTTAGTGGGCAAATGACTTTGGAGGTTTCCTTTGGAACAAGATTCTATGTGGCATTTAACCATCAAGAGCAAATATAGATTGCAGGCCAATTGATGGGACTCGAATAAGGTTGAAAGGAAAAGTTTCAGGTGCCCATGGAAATTCTGGGATTGACAAGGTACTCTCAAAATATCCAGTTTATATTGGAAAATGGGGAAACATACATTTTGGGAGGATATAAGGGTGGGGAGTTATCTTTATGTTATTTGTTTCCGCTATAAAGATGCTTTTATAGCATCTTTGATTCAGTCTTATGATCACCCATATTCTTATGACTTTGGTTTTGTAGGAATCTTGATTATAGGGATATGGAGGAGTTCCTAGCCTTGCTTGTTATTCTTAATAATTCGAAAACTCTTGATAAATGAAGGTGGATTTATGAGTCTTCGGGTATATTTTCACGTAAATCCTTCTTCGAGGATTTCACTAATGATTCTTCTAGTCCTTTGTTTTTAGCCTTCAATCATGATTTGGAAAGCTAAGGTACTTATTAAAGTGCAAGTGTTTGCATGGACTATTGCACATAGGAAGCTTAATACTAATGATTTGCTTCAGAGGAGACCTCAAACTTGTATTTTCCCTCAATGGTGGTTTATGTGTAAAGGTGATTGTGAGAGCATTGATCAATTGTTTCTACATTGTCCTATTGCTTTGTCATTGTGCTATAAATTGTTTTATTTGGGAGAATTGAAATGGGTGCTTCCTGCATTATCCACATCGTTGTTTGTTGAGCTTTTGAGAGGTTTTGGGCAGAGTGATAAAGGAATGACTTTGTGGACTTTGCGCTATTATGGCTGGAAGAAAAAAAATTCAATAATTTTTTAAGACAGAAGCGAAGAAATGGATGGTTTATGGGGCCATATTCATTGTATTGCATAGTTTTGAGCTTTGGATTCTAAAGAATTCAAGGGAATCCCACTTTTTAGTGTAATGGCCGGATGGAGAGCTTCTAATGTATTTTCTTTTGGATTGTATTTTTGTTTTCCTTTGGTTGGCTAAGATCTTCATGTAATCTTGATTTTAGATTTTAATGCATTTTCTCCGTTTCATATCCATAAAACTGTTTGCCGCTTTAGAGGCATAGGCCAAGTGGACATCCAGATTTGCTGATCAACAAGCCCATTACTAGCTAAGAATGGATACTCCACTAAAATGGAAGTTATGACTTACAGACTATACTATACCCCATGAGCTCTTACTGTGGTTAAAGAAAGGGTTATTGGATTTGTGATCGTAGGGGTTATATGGATGGTCCATTCTTTCTTGTAGGGGTACTCCTTTTTCTTCTAAAGGATTCCTAGTACTACTTTGCCTTTGTACTCTCAATTTCATCAGTAATTTATTGTTTCTTGTCAAGAAAAACTTGTGAGAGGATATTTGCAAATAGCATCAAATTTAACTTTCAAGCCCCTAGATAACTAGAAACAATTCAAAATCCAAGAGAGGAAACTGACATTGAAACTTATGGTACAAGGTAGGTACCTACATATGAGGGCAAAGTGATTTTGATTCCTTTATAGTTTACGGACCTACATATGAGGGCATAGACATAGTATACAAAAACTTACCTGATGGTTGTAGAAATGTAGCTCTTGAAGCAGCAGGCTTTAAATTGAGAAAACGTGAGACATATTTTGAAGCAACCGCTTGATTGTAACCGCCACTTGGAAGCTTCGATTGATTTGATCCGTCTCTATTAAAAGGAGCAGTTCCACCACCCTTATCATGTGGTAAATATGCTTCTCCATGGCTCAACTTAATCTTGCCAGAAATGTTTGGTTGCAATATGGAACCAGTTAATTGCAACTGAGTATCAACCTGACCGCTGAAAATAAAAAGACACGTCAGTTCTTCAAGGACACAGTGTAAAGGTAAAACATGAAAAGATATGAATCTCATTCTAAGACATGATGAAAAGATCACAGAGAGAGTTGTGAAGGGGGGAAAAAGGAAAAGGCAATCACTTTAGGTGAACAAAGCACTGATATATTCATGAAGGGTCATAGTTTGGTCCACACAAACTGAGGGTGCTGAGAGGGGCTGGAGGGTTGGGGTTGGATTGGGTACAAAACTTAATCTTTGCCATTATGTGCACAAGTTGGTTGTCCTCGAATTCAATTCCGCAACCTTCAGGTTGTTAGTACAACACTTTCATCACTGCACCAGGTATTGGACCATACATATATAAAGAACAGCGACCGAGAGCAGAAAACCAAATAAGAAGGATCTCGTTCAAATGTCAAACATCAAGACAAATCATTCACCCAACTGTAAACCAAGATAAATGCGACCAGTGAGTTACCAAAACCAACTATTTCTTATGTCCTGTGTTGGAGAGAAGATAAGGCACCTTAAAATATTCTTTGCCCGCACTTCCAGTACTTCACATTTCAAGTCAATTTTATCGCCAAGGGATGCTTCACTGGTTCTGAGGGGCAGGTTTCCTTTCAAGGAGAGTTTACCCTTTCTACTTACTCTACTCTCCAAAGAACTAATGCATAACCTATTCGAATTCACGAGAACTGTGCCACCGAAATTTGTGAGTGGTTTACGGAGTACAGGAGAAGATATCGTTGCCCTGTGGAAAGATGCAGATCCATCAAGCACTGGTTGCTCAACTGTACCTCTAACCTATTTTAAAACAAACCACATACATTAGAAAAGTATTTCAAAATCGAACATTTGAACCTACTATATCCCTGTTTTAATTGAACAGAAATTGTTGTATTACGACGATAAAGCAATCCAAGATTTTACAAACTTGAACTACCTGGAGCATAACTTCAGCATTGCCATGGAGCCAGTTGGCATAAGGAGATAAAGCTGTTAACAACATCATGCCCCCATCTTTAATATCAGCATCAATCCTAACTTCTCCTACATCCAATATGTTCCAGTTCAAATCTTTGAGGCTTTCTGCCAACCGAGTATTCCAGTCTTCTTCAGTTCTTTCTCTGAAGGATTTCTTATCACTAGCTTCATCTGCAGACTCTTTACTCCTCTCCTTGCCCCAACCACGAATCCAAGTTGCTTCACTTTTGTCTCTTTCCACATTTTCTCCATCCAAAATGTTGTTTTCGGCAAAGGTTACAGGTATACTTCCTTGAATGTGAACATGGCCATTTTGGATAATGGGTTCAAACTTTGCATTGAACAGAAAACGACTGGTTGAGGTTAGGGAGGCAACAATTTCAGCTCGCCCAAGATCAATGCCCCCCATTGCACCATCCAGGAGCCTTACTTGCACATCACATTCAGGTTTAGCAAGGCTTCCTCTAAGATCCCCTTCCATGTGCAGTATCCCCTTTATTGGTGCTAAAAATTGCCGCAAAGAATGAACAGCATCAGTGGCTGAAGTTTCGATAACCTGAACCAAAGTAGGGACTAGACTAACAGGAAAATTCAGAACAGCAAAATGCAAATTGGTTTTTGGCCCAAATAAAGTCCCATCTGCATGGATTGTGGCATTATCCTTCTGGATAAAAATTTTCTCAAGGCGCAAACCATCATCATTGCTGTAAGCACCAGCTGCTAGAACACGTTGAGTTTTGTATGTTCCCCATTCCCATTCCTCCCCATGAAAGTCAAAATCTGCCTAAAAATACAAATATGAAAAAGACAATTAGAGGACAAATTCTGAAGGGCGGAGAAGTTAACAAACAATGCAATTCCACTGCTCCTACTGAACAAATTCTTTTCGGAACTTTCTATTTTGCCAGCTATTTATGGTGCATTAAGATTATAAAAGAAAATATTTAAACATATGATTCCAGGAAGAAGCAAACAGACTCACAAGATTAACTACATGATATTAGTATTTTCCCATGCAAAAGAGAAGAGTATTTTGCAAATGCAGAGCATAGAGGTAAATTATGTAGTCTTACAGAGATTATAGCTTATGTTTATCCTACTCATACAAAAGCACACACACATTTGCTTCCATCAAAGAAATATTAGAAGTGCGCATTCACACTTTTCCGATTGCTCAGGTGGACTGGCAAAAACGAATGAAGAACCTTCATGCACAATTGGTCAGGACTCAGGACGCAGGAGCGAATTTTCTTTAACAAGTTAATAAACAGAATCAAGATATCATTGACTAACAATTAAATATGAATTCAGAATCACCTCGCAATTTCACGATAATCATGCAACCCAGCAAGCTCAATTTTCAGTTTATAGCAAGAGAGATGAGTACCTTAATGTTATTGGTCTAAACACAGCCTTTAAATGACCCCAATTTCAGACAGACAAAAAAATTGCAATGTGCAAATCTAATAGCTTGTGTTTCAGCTTCAAATTAACATGTGAAATCCAAACTATATTGCTTTGTGAAAGATTTCCAAGATACTTACCATTGTGTCTCCATTGCCTCCACCACTTGCATCTAGAGAGCCACACCAGCGGCCTTTAAGTTCGGCTAACCCTGGAAGATTGAAGTCTTCAGATATAACTTCATCAGATGGAACAGAATGCCCCCGAATATCCTAGAACAAGTTATTTAACCAAGGCAATGTTAAAAAACCACATGGAAACCTCGAAAACTAAAATTTTCACTCCACAGTAAGTCTTATTTGCACGACCAGATTAAAGAAAAAAGGTAACCATAAATCACATATCATTCCAAAAACTTTACCCAGAGGAATCTAGCGGAGCTTATGAGGATAGAATTACTATTTCAGGAAATACCTCAAGCAGCTTTTGAAGGCTTTCACCATATAAACCCACAGACTGCAAACTTTGTATGAAGAGGTCCTGGAAATAAGTTAAGCAAGGCATGCAGAATCAGCACCTATAATCAGTGGAAAAAGTTGTCCCCACAGAAAATGAATTTGAAAAAAAGTTAACACATTCACACGCCAACCGCAGCGTAGAACTATGGAACTGAGATCCCCTTGGCTGTTCAGCCTTATCTAGGACTATATTTTCAGTTTGACAAATCCAATTCTACCAGCAAACAAATAATCTTAATTTAAGATGCTCAAAACTAGATAATTTTAAAAAAAAAATATTTATGGCCTACAAAATGACCCAAAAGATTCCAGTTTGAATGCAGAAATTCTAAATCGTTACAAGCTTCATTCTTAAACTTCCAAGCTCCCATACAAATTTCATTTTTTTTCCTTTCTGGGACCTCTTTGCAAACAGAAACTATTAATTGGAAAGCTTCCAAACCATTTGAATATATTACCCCCACACGGTACTGGTTTTAGAATCCAAAAGAGCTATCAAACAGAGTAAAGAAACTCGATGGAAAGGGAATCATGTTAGAATATAACGTCAGTGAAAGGCAATACTGACAAGAGAAAAGTATGAAAATGAAGCTGAAAAAATGGCGAGGCACTCATCATAGATCATGTAGGATTTTATCTGATTGTATCCAGTTGAAATTATAAAAGTGATATTAGGGTTAATGAGGAAGAAGAGAATGAGAAAAAGAGAGAAGAGTGACAAAGAAAGAAAATAATCAATCATGTGTAGGCTAGGTTGCCCTACACTCTTATTTATAACTGAGTAATACTTAGGTAATTATACTATTACCCCACACCAATTAACTTATGTCTAATAGAGAAAATAAGAACTGTAACATATACAAGTATCACAATTCATTCAACAAGGAAACAACAATGAAGGTCCCATGGAGGCATCCGATAAAAAGAGACAATAGTGAAAAAAACTTCAAGAATTGGAGGACTTCGTTTAGCAAACTGAAAGTATACATGTCATTTTGTAATATTTCCATATTCATCATGGCCTGGTGCTTGAGCCCTAGTGGTAAAGGTAGGGCTACCAATGAGTAAGCACAAGGATTTTTATCCAATCATCTATCACTGAAAAAAAGGAAAAATATTTCTAAATTCATCGTGTCATTTTCTCCATTGAACCTCCTCAACAATAAATAAAACAGTACATACAAGTTTCTATCACATTTTTTTCTGCATGAAATTCAGTGCTCACAACTGATCACTGTTACTGCTAATTATTAGGCCAATACAAGGCCATTACCCATTTTTAGTTTCCTGATCCAGGGGGCTGGGGGAGGGGACTGGAAACAAACCCAACCTTGGGCATTCTTTGCACAAAGTGGGTGTCCCTCATACTCAAACCTACATCCCTATAATTTATAAGATCATTTGCCCGTAGAATAGCCAAACCCTTCAAATACAACATAATTTCCAATTGTACACCAGCATATATTATAGCAAACTAAAAATGTTCACATCAAAATATAGAACTGTTTGGATGGCTTTCCACAATTGTAATTTTGCTTTTTCTCTTTCCTAAGAGTGAAAATGGAGTTGATAATAATAGATGAATTCCAAGTTCAATTCTTATAATACAGGTTAATATAAATGTTTTTCTTTTCGGTAAGTTAATATGAAAGTTATACCTTCAGTATATTACTAAGACCATCATATGACTACGATGCTAGCTGCTATCAAACCTAACTCCTGGGATGGGATACTTGGAGTCTATCTCTGCTTCCATATGCTAATAAGTTACTCACATTCAACTACCATGACAGTTAAGATTTCCTTCACATTTAAGTAGAGAACAACCTTTGATCGGGATTGAACTGCAGGATCAGTACTTCGAGAAATAAGTCTTGCAAGTGGAAGCACCTCAGCAATTTCAGCTCGAGGAACATCAAGTCTCATTCTCCATCTCCCCATGGAAGATATCACACTGCCAAGATGACCTGTCATTGCTCTTCGGAACATGCTACCTCTTTCCTTTCCCGAAGGGTTTCGATCTCGGGTGCCGGGCAGCACATATTCACCTTGAAGCTCGTACTGGCTATTGCTTTGTTCCAAAACAGTTTTCTCAACAGTAATCTACAGGAGGAAATAAAGACCAGCAATTAGATGAATACAAAGGGCAATGTTATAATATGTACAGGAGCAAATTTGGGTAGTTCTCAGCTAAATAACCTGACACAAAAGTATGGAGCAATACGCCAAAAAGAAATTAATTTCAGGGAAGAACTCATTCACAAACATAAAATCATTAGTATGTCTCAACCAAGCCAAAAAGGGGAAGAATTAAAGAAGCAATGCCGGCATTCTGTTTGTTTCCATAATTTTTTTAATGTGAAAATTGGAAGGTGAGGAATAAATTGGAGACATTAGAGAGAAAACCAGTACAGTAGATGTAGCCAGTGTATTTTGACCAATTTCTATGGCCCAAGTGAAAATCTAAAGCACAAATTTCCTCCTTATCAACAAAGATAATAGTTCTGCCAAAATAAATCCACAGTACTAAATAGTAAATCTAGTTGAAATTTTTTTGTTAAATAAGTCAAAAGCAACTTTTACGTCCTTGTCCATTATTATTAAAATCATAGATGGTAGAAGGTAAAAGCATGTCTGCTTACTTTTTTCCCAGAAGTGATATATGTGTTCATCCATAAGTGAATGCTACACATACATAGCTGTATACATAAACACCTTAAGAATTGTTCCCCGAGTACTCCTATATAAAACATTACCGAATGGTTCCTTCAGTACTCCTATAGTCCTATATAAAACCAGATAGAATAAAGTTTAAGACATCAACCATCAACTGAAGGCAAAGACAAACCTTAAGAAGGGGAAAAAATGAAAGAGAGTTGAACAGGAGTGAAAAAAAAAATAGAAATTGATTAAAACATGAACAAAAACATTAAATTCTCCCCAAAACCCTTCTCAATTGAAGGCAAAGAAATGCCTTAATAAGGGGGAAAACGGAAAGCAGGAAGGAACATAAAATTACGAGCTTGTTTAGAGCATAAAAATAAACACCAAATTATCTCTCCCCCAGGCCCCAGTGTGCGGGTGGGCTGCCAAGAATGGGGATTGGATGAAGGTATAGACGTAGAATCACAATTACATGTTTCAGACATAATGTCCTATTAAGTAAATTTTCACTATTCCATTATTTTCAACATTCAACTACGGCATTTCGAGCTTAAAGCAAAACAGTAAATAAATAGAAGCCTCTGCTTCTTATGTTTTCATTATCTATCTGACTGGTCAAGCAACTGGGAGGCTCACAGAAAGGCTTTGAACTAGAAACAACTTAGGTTAGGTACTCACAACATCCCCACTCCATCTAGCAGCCACATCTAAAGCTTCGCCCAACACGCCACTGAATTTTGGTCGAAGTACAGATAACACTCCATGACCCCTTCTTTTCTGAAAGTTAAGTTGAAGTTCTGCCTGCAAAAAAAACAACAAACTATCACCTGAGAAACGAATTTACAATTAAGATTATATAGACAACTAAAAAAAATCACCTATAAATAATTACGTATGAAATCATCATCAATCTTCCACAATATGATTCTCGCAAAAATTATCCAGTACATAATTACTGTTCACATAATCCCATACAAAAATGGAGGCAACTTCCAATTGATGACAATGTCCAAAAAGAGAAAGATGTGAACAAGCGCTGCACTTCGAAAACCTCAGCCCCACCAAAAAAAGGAAAAGAATGAAAATAACCTACACTAAAAAAAAATAGAAACAAACATAGGTGAAATCAGTGGAATAGAAGTTTATATCAATTGTCTCCTGATTAATAACAAGGGTTACAGACTAATCTAAAAAAAAGAAAGCTGAAAAGAGCTCCTGCTGCCAAGAGAAGGACATCTGTTATTCAGTTTCATTTGAATTTCCTTCCATTTACGATGGACACCTCCGAACAACAAATTCAAAACAAATTACGATTTACAAGAAATTTGAATTCATTCTGTAAAAGACTATTTTGGCTCAATCGATCATATCTACAGCAATGCCCTTGACATAAAGTTTCAGTGAACTTTTCACATTATCTATCAGATCATGCCAAGACTAGTTTGATGCCTCTTCGTGGGTGCAGCAGGGTAAATGGCCGGTTACTATGAAGTCACGAAATCAAACATCCACCCACCCAAAAAGAAAGAAGCAAATAAAAAGGAGCCCAAACATCCATCTTGTTCAAACTCTATTGTGTCTCTCACTATGCAAGATAAATAGTCAAAACCAAATAAAATTAACGTTTAATAATTTCATCAAGGAAGCCCAAGAGTTGGATTACAGGTAAAAGAATATTCAAAGCACACACAAAGTGAGTGAGACTCTGAGCACCAACTCTAACAAACTAATACCACTTTGCAACCCATAGCAATTTTTATCATTTCTGGTTTGTCCTCTTTGTTTTATATTCCCCCATGCATACACTCTCATGTTCATCCTAAATGTGATGAGGCATGGTTTGTGAAAAAAAGGCGATCTTCCCAAAATAAAGTCAGGTATGCCAAAAGGAAGCTTACCCGTTGAACTGTTCCCCGAAGTGAAGCCAGCTCCAGTTCATCAAGTGGCAAATGGCGTACCTGATTGCAAGAGGTGGAAAACTCAGTTAGTTTTTGCAATCATACCACATAGACAAGCTTACAAAAAAGAAGAAAAAAGATTAATTGTAGTCAAAAGACCAGTAAAAAAGAGAGCAAGAACCTCCAGGTTAGCTAAATGTAGTGGTCGGTAGCACACATTAGCTTTTAGGTGCCCCTTTTGAAGAGAGAAAGACAACACCTTTCCAAGCACATTTTCTTCAGCACCATGCTGTAATGGTCCTACAAATTCCATCAGAAGACTTTCATCTGGTCTACCTGTGGCATCCAACTGCATCACCAAAATGACCTAGAATTCAGATTGATTGATGAAATACAGGAACTACATGAGGATAAGAATGTAGACCCACATCCAAAAATAGTGGACCTCTCCATTGCAATGTAAAGAAGCACTTATGAATTAACACATCCATCTCACTTAACACAAAATAGACCACACAGTCTCTAGGAGCACCACATACAAAATCACACTTTCGGATCTATAACACACAAAATGTGGAGTTATCTGAACAAAAAAAAGAACCAACTGGGGCCTATATTGAATATCAAAATTAACAAATATGACAAACTGACCGTCCAACCTTTTTCAGTAATTTGCTAAAACACATTTTGTTCAGACTGCATATTTGTTGAATTAACTGGTGACTTTTGACTGTTTCTAATAGTTTCAAACTTACTTAAATGCAGTGATAGTACTAAATTTTAGTCAGAAATTGGCTGAGTAGTGAATATTTAAAGAAGGTATTAGATAAATGCTTATGTTACACTACTCTTTAACAGCATAGACTTTTGGAGTAAATGTGGTTCAACATTGTATCCGAGCCTAGATGTCCTGAGCTCAAATCACACCAAGGCTCCTTCCTTATTAGACAAAACAAAAAAACAATCAAGTAGACGGACCACCTAAGAGGCGCCACAAGAAAACCAAACCAAACCTTATGTCCCAATTATTTGGAGTCAACTATATGAGTTTATCTTTGCCATTCATGTTGGTCATGCGCTATGCGCTCATTTAAGTTAAATATTTATATATTTTTTCTTATTAGTTCGTTCAATGTTAATTTAGATCTCCTCCTATTCCTAGTACCATTAAAAGAAATTATATCATTTTTTCTAAACTATCTTAATCTATTCACTCTTAATTTGTCCTCAATTGGAGCTACTTCTACCATTTCTCTAATAGAGTCATTTCGTACTCAATCTTTTCTAATTTTTTCACACATCCACTTTAACATTCTCATTTCCGTTGCCCTCATTTTGTCATTATATTGTTTTCTAGTTGCCCAACATTCCATCTTATACAATATTATTGTCCTTATAGCAGTTCAGTAAAACTTGACTTTTAATTTTATTAGTATTCTTCTATCACATAATATGTCAAAAGCTTTCCTCCATTTAAGCCAACCAACGTTAATTCTATGAATTACATCGTCTTCAATTTCTCCATCATTTTTAAGAGGGCCACAAGTGATAGGTAGTATTAGATAGATACTTATGCTACACTCCTCCTCTCTAACAACTTAAGTTTTTGGAGTACATAATGGTTCAACAAAAGGTATTTCCATGAAAATAGCAACTCATAAACAAATGAGCACATGTACCAAATCATGCACACAGACCAAACAAATTTCACTGAAATTTATTAAAAGCATCTTACACAGAATTCCATGTATATACATGCATTACTAGAAGATTGTTCATCCACTAAATGATTTACACCTGTAGTAGCTAGATCCCTTTCTGGGTCATTCGTCATCCCCTCAATGTGACATAACTTAGCTTTTGTGTTTATTTGAAAGAAATCCCATTGATATGAAAACCTGGAAGCTAGAAACAATGACAACACTGGTTCACTCGTTTTGAGCTTTGATTGAGTAATTGCATGTGCCAGTCACACAGGTGCAGGGACAACCATCTTTTACAGCATNTTTATATTTTTTCTTATTAGTTCGTTCAATGTTAATTTAGATCTCCTCCTATTCCTAGTACCATTAAAAGAAATTATATCCTTTTTTCTAAACTATCTTAATCTATTCACTCTTAATTTGTCCTCAATTGGAGCTACTTCTACCATTTCTCTAATACAGTCATTTCGTACTCAATCTTTTCTAATTTTTTCACACATCCACCTTAACATTCTCATTTCCGCTGCCCTCATTTTGTCACTATATTGTTTTCTAGTTGCCCAACATTCCATCTTATACAATATTATTGTCCTTATAGCAGTTCAGTAAAACTTGACTTTTAATTTTATTAGTATTCTTCTATCACATAATATGTCAAAAGCTTTCCTCCATTTAAGCCAACCAACGTTAATTCTATGAATTACATCGTCTTCAATTTCTCCATCATTTTTAAGAGGGCCACAAGTGATAGGTAGTATTAGATAGATACTTATGCTACACTCCTCCTCTCTAACAACTTAAGTTTTTGGAGTACATAATGGTTCAACAAAAGGTATTTCCATGAAAATAGCAACTCATAAACAAATGAGCACATGTACCAAATCATGCACACAGACCAAACAAATTTCACTGAAATTTATTAAAAGCATCTTACACAGAATTCCATGTATATACATGCATTACTAGAAGATTGTTCATCCACTAAATGATTTACACCTGTAGTAGCTAGATCCCTTTCTGGGTCATTCGTCATCCCCTCAATGTGACATAACTTAGCTTTTGTGTTTATTTGAAAGAAATCCCATTGATATGAAAACCTGGAAGCTAGAAACNTGTCTGGGTCATTCGTCATCCCCTCAATGTAACATAACTTAACTTTTGTGTTTATTTGAAAGAAATCCCATTGATATGAAAACCTGGAAGCTAGAAACAATGACAACACTGGTTCACTCGTTTTGAGCTTTGATTGAGTAATTGCATGTGCCAGTCACACAGGTGCAGGGACAACCATCTTTTACAGCATTTCTCAGTTTTTTTTTTGATAAGTTATTTTCTGGGATTTTAAGGTTCCTCATGTCAAACAACAGCAATGTTGTTCCAGTTGCCACTTAGCTAGAGAGNTTGATAAGTTATTTTCTGGGTTTTTCAGGTTCCTCATGTCAAACAACAGCAATGTTGTTCCAGTTGCCACTTAGCTAGAGAGTTATTCTAAAATGTAGTTTTACCCAAGGATCAAAATTTCATTTTGAAACGGACCAAATGCCATTTCCCTGAAAACCGAAATGAATCAGTAGTTGAACCCTGAAACGCCTATGTTTCAAGGTGTTTCGGAGTATTTTGAGGTGTTTCAGAATATTTTGAGGGGTTTCAACCAATGTTTCAAAATGTTTTAGAAATAAAATTCTAATTTTTTCCCTACTTCCAAACCATTTTTTAAATGTTATTATTTCTTAGGTGACCGAAACAATCCACAGAAAAAAATTTGATCTTTGGTTTTACCTTTTCTAGAATGCTCACACTTCAAGACCACCAATATGACATAAAATTCAGTCATGGGGGAAAAATCCCGAGCACAATATACAGATAAAAGTTTTTATAGGTGGAAGCTATAAGGCATACCTTGATACCCTGACCTGAGATGCTCAACATTCCAGCTAATTGAGGTGCCAGCATCAACTGATTCAGTTTAAGACCTGAGATTGAAACCTCACCCACAAGACTTTGGGTATCCCTATGACCTTCCATTTGCACATCTTCCATATTCTTCTCAGTACCCAAGACTTCCTCATCAGTGATGCTAAAAGGCTTAATAACCTTTCCTTGAAACTTAACCCTTCCGGCTGCTTTCAAATGCACAGGCCTTAAAGAATCAAAAGCATATGAAGAGACCAAGCTGAATAACTCAAAACCACGCATTCTTAAATCCAATTCGACTCCTTCAACAGTTAATGGAACTGCAGCCCTCACATCATACTCTCTCTGGTTTGACGGGTATTCATCCTGATAAGATGTTAGAACTTTGGTATACAATTCAAAAGCAGCCGACGAAGAACTAACTGTAATATAATCATGTGAAATTATGATATCTCCTCGAGCATCAGTAAGTGATCCTTCAGCTGTTGGTGCAGTCCATTTAATGTCAAACCTCCTAGAGTCATAATAAGGTCTATTAGCCCATCTCAATCCTTATAAAATTGAGATATAAAATTCTGCAGATAAAATTGTTTGCAAGGACCAATGACATTATCACAATTAGAAAGACCAGACCAGGAATCTTACGGTCTCAATAAGGATCCAGAAAGTTTTGTTTCACCATTTAATTCCCCTAATTTAAGAGGCACCAGTTGAAAATAAGCAGGCAGATATCGATGCATAATTCTATCAAAGCCTATATTCCCCGAAAAGTTGACATCCATAGCTGTGTCATCAACCTCACCCTGCAAGAGTAAAGTTTTCAACTATGGGACAGAGAAAGAGACTCAAGTCAAAAATATGCAACATATCATTATTCCATCATGTGATTAATGAAAGAGCGGCAATGCGCGTTACATTTGCCAACCAATTGCCCGTTATTGAACAACCACATTATGGAAAGGAAATGCATCAAGAAAAAAAAAACCGTAAGAATCAAAACAAGGGACATGCTTCACAAAATTACGTGATGGTCCAGCATTGGTACAAGACTGGAACACACACACACGAGCCCACGTGGTTAAAGAAACAGGACTACATATATTCTATTGAAGTAAGCAGAATTACTAAGAAATATTGCTACAACCAAAAAACGAAAAAGGAAAAAAGAAAGAGAAGTATCAAACAAGCCCTACATATAATTTTGGGAAAGGACTGAAACTATACAAAAACATGTTATTGCCTTAAATGCAAGACTTCTTTCTTCAATTTTTTCATGTCTCCACTTATCCATTCAAGAAATAAACTAAATAGCATACAATTACAATGTAAGGAGCAAAGAGGCTATATAATAGTGGACCTTGTCCCAGGGCCAGTACAAAGTAAGATTTAGTGGCAATTTTCCTTAAATTCTTTCAGACTTGTATCATGCCCTAATACCCACAATATTCAAATATCCTTTTCAAGAGAATCAAATAATATTTCATTCAGTAAGTTCTTCCAAGAGAAAACAAGTACATTCATATGATACAAACAATATTTCATCCCAGTAACTGTAACTTGATTCTTTGTTAATGGGATTCGGATAGACATGTTTCAAAGGAATATATGCACACCCTAAGCCCCCTTTACAGAAAATCTCAAATAGAAAGCTTACATAACATGATTCCGAGCATTAATTCATTATCTCCTCATAGCACAGAAAATTAAAAATCACGCTTCAATCCAAGCCATGAATTTGAACAACCTGGATTATATGGGCCAAAAGGCACTACATGGACATAGTGGCTGATCTTAGATTTGGAAAACTTAATTATCGTCTATCGAGAAGCAAAAACTGCACTCACTCTCTCCCCCACAATGAGGGTACTAGATGCATCCTAATTCTCTTCAAGCAAGACAGATTATCCCATATAGGACTAAATACCTCAGGGCATATCCATGCATTACCCGCCCCACGAATTTCACCACCATCAACAAGGCTAGCTCTGATTCCATACAAGTCAGCAACCTGTCAAATGCAAGATAAATTCCACAAGAATACACAAATTCCCAAACAAAAAAAGGAAACTGAAGCTCAATATTTTGAAATATCCATGTTATCGTCACAAACTTACACAGTTATCAGTGTTAAAAGTGAAATTGGCTGAAATATAAGAAAATGGAACACGATCAATTGCTGCCACCGCACCAGCCTCTTTATTATTCAACATTGCCTCATATGCAGCAGACGCAGGAATATCAGAAACTGAAAGAGTTATCTTCCTTGAAACCAATCCACTTCCGACAAATATAGGAGCATCCAAGGGGCCTTGACAGTTGAAAACGGTTGTTACCGAACCAGCCAACTGCAGTGGAGAAAGAAAGGAAAGTGAGACAGATAAGAAGAGCAAAACAAGGGCAAATTCATCATTGAAATCTAATATATAAAAACAATGCAAAAAATGCTGGTTATCTCAGCTTGAGAAGCATGGATATAGACACGTGATATAGAAACAATGCAACATGGACAAAACACAAAATTTCACAAGAAAGTAGGACAGACATGTGTGAGCTCAATAATATAATTTATGTATAAAGATTTTTAAATTTATAGATTCTCACAAACTCTAACGAACTACATTACCAACTCTCTCGCTCAAAACCTCAAATATTATTCAATTTTGCAACATTATTGAATGATGACATGACAAAGTCACTAGACTAGAAATGAAGAAAAAATTTAACAAGAGGGGATAAGGACTTTTAAGCTTTAACATAATGGGCATGTTATCTGCAGACTGTGAAACCCATCAGAAGACGACAAAGGTGGTCGAAGGTAACACTGCTAGTTTCTTCTCTCTCTTCCCATTTTCCAATTTTTTACTTCATCCTAACTTACAGTTTTAACGTGAAAGCGTCTTCTCCATAGTTTCTCTTAGTTTTAGTTTGACTCTATTTAAATACAAATGTTTTCCAACACTTCCACAATAAAAATGTGACATTTTCTAAATGTAACCCTAGTGTATCTTGGCGGTATTCTCCATCATGTTCCAAACTTACCCGATTCTTCACATCCTGACACTAATAGTCTATGTCTAATACACCATATTAAAAAAAAAAGGTCTAATACATAGGCCTTGCCATGGGGTTTATGTTTCNGCGACATTTTCTAAATGTAACCCTAGTGTATCTTGGCTGTATTCTCCATCATGTTCCAAACTTACCCGATTCTTCACATCCTGACACTAATAGTCTATGTCTAATATACCATATTAAAAAAAAAAGGTCTAATACATAGGCCTTGCCATGGGGTTTATGTTTCCCAGATCTGACTCAGCAACTTGAACTACAATGAAAACAAATATTATCAGCAGGACCACCTTACATAATAAGCAGAAAATCTTTGAGAATGAGGAAAGCTGCACAAAACATCTTTAAGATCAAGGAAAAGTAACGGAATATTTTGAAAGATGCAAACACATATGTCCTCCTAATACGGATGGTAAGGAGGCAGAATAGTTGCTATTTGAAATAGTGATGGCAACTCCGTTGTTTCCAATGAATCTGGAATTTTACACCAATGAAAGGCAGTAACACAATCTACTAATACAGACTCCCAGTTTCTGCTGATCAAAAACATTGGAAACGTCACATAGTTAAACGACAATGGTTGTGACGCTCCAAAATATTAAGTGGCTCTTGAGAACTTAAATGATTGCTATCAACTTGGGCCTCCCCTAATAGAAACATTTCAAAGACTTCAATGGAGTTGTATGCATTCTCCACTCATATAATTGAATTCTGAGCAAGCAGGTAAAATTTTTCAGCATATTATAGCTTCTAGACTATCGAGCCATGGTCACCAAAGGATAGATGTAAAATGATTTTCATGTTATTCGTTTTATATTATGGTTTTTATTCTATATTTTTCAGATAATTTCATATCACTGTGATTAACCATCAAAAGTGTTATTTTATTATATTTAAAGATTGGTTAATTGCATATTATTTGTGATTAAATGTGTTAAATTCTTTAATTTTCTAGTTTGATACTTTTTCTGATTGTTTGATTTATTTTGCAGGTAAATTGATTGATTTAAAATAATAATGGATAAAGCAAGTGAAGCAATCGCTAGAGGAAGAATCACAATTGATAAGGATTGAAGAATCAAGATAAGACAACAATTTAACCTTATAAGAGTTCAAGTTGGAAGAAAACTCATTTAAAGTTGGATTAAAAAAGTATCCTAGAAGATAAGGAGTTGACACATCTTCAGTATTTTGGTCATCACTTTTGACTCCGATATTCGATTGACCTGATTTTTGTGGGGTTAGAAAGAAGACTTCATGAGCTACAAAAGTGTATTTCACGAAAATTTCGTGAATCGGCCTCTAAATATGCAAAATTCAAGCTTGACGTCTGAACATATTTTGTATCCACGCCCCTAAGATTTTATGCACGGGATTTAACCTTAAAAGACTTTTTTTTGAAAAAAAATTCTTCCCAAACCAATCTTAAATCTCCTACTTATACCTAAGTTATATTAGTATAAATAAAAACTCTCACCTATTGAGAGAGGATGATTAAGATTATTAATTTCTTCCCATTTTTTTTTTCTAGTTTTTGTTCTAATTCTCTAGCTTGAGAAAAACCCAACTAAAATTAGGGGAAATACTTTCAATGAAACACGATATTTATTGTTGATTCAATGTTCTTTTAATACATGATTAATTTTTTTAATTTAATTCTTATCTTTTAGTAAAATTTTTGCTTTGTATAATTTCTTGATTTGTTGTGTCAGGTACATCGAATGCTTGAGATTCCCTACGAGTCAAATAACCGGTTATTCCATGCTTGAATTAATTAATTAGAATTTCACATAAAATAGTTGATTTATTATTTGTAATAAAATAAGGTTTACCTATTGGAAAGCTTGGTTTATCGTAAGACTCCGAGCATGGTGAATGTGTGTAATCAACAAGTAAATTCTTATATTTATCCAAATAATTCATTAATTATAACTTTTGATGTTTTCATATTATCACCGCTAAATATTGCGATTGGAATTACTCCTCAGCTGAATCTCAATTGAGTTCGAAAACTGAATTATTAATAATTGTCGTGTGGATTTGAAAGGGTATCCTAATGCTTTAATATTTCAATTATTGGTTTTATTCAAATAACTTTTGTTCTTTTGAACAAATAAATTTCTCTAAATACTTTTCAAATCAAATTTTCTTTTATTTTTTTATTGCGTTTTAAGTTTTCTCAATTCCCTGTGGTTCAATATCCGATTCCCGAGAAATTTATTACTTCGCACAACCTGCACTTGGGTGATTAATTCTAAAGTTGTAGCACACTGTTTCATAATCATTGCTCAAAACGAAGTTTATGCTGAGAGTTATTTAAGACTCTTACAATTGACAGCATGTAACCAAACTCCAAACTCAGGATAGCAGGAAGTTTTACTCCTCAAATAGATGCATAATAATTTTTAAAACAGCATACAAGGCATCATCGCTCATAAATCTCAAGACTCAGACCAGAAGCTTTAAGAAAAATATTGCACATACCGGAAATAGCAAAGGCTTCATCTTGAACGTTTTCATCAAGGCATTTACTTCAACAGAGGGAACCTGTAGAAGGAATAATCCTACACTGATCATAATGGAATAAAAAGTAACACAGATAGTGAGGCAAACAAACACACCATTTCGAGCCCTTATTGCACTCCCCATGTCTCCTGCATTCAAAATTTAAACAACACGTTCCTATTGGAAATGTTAAGTTACCCCTTCCAAACTATTGTTTTTTTTATTCTCTCTTCTTAACATTGGTTTCCTTCCCAACACTAATTTAAGGTTTTAATTACACAATGGCTAAGCAGACCACTTCCAAAACCAACATCTAAAATAGATAAATATTGTGAGGATTTACCTATGCTGCTTGGCAATTTTTTATGTTTTAAGATGCCTTTTGTTCGATTCTATCAAACATTTTCAAAACTAACTACCCCTGGCAGCTTACCTACTTTCTTCAGCCTTAACAGTTGCCGCCTTCTTGCTTTCAACTCCAATTTTTGTTTCCTTTAACCGTTCCAAAACTGGCTATCATGCATCACATAGACCAGTTTCAAATCCAAGGGAATTCTTTTGACTCATAAACCATAATTTGACTGCAACACATGATCTTTTTGGCTAATACAATAATTCTGTTGCAAAATTTTACATAAGAAGCTGCTCACTATATAATCTCACACACACGAAAAACAGAGTCATACACGCGGTCTTTTTTCTGCTTCTAATTTGGAGTCTTTACAAGAAACAGTCTCACTGTCATAAAGGAAATCTCAGTCAACAAGACAACCTGCAACTGCAAAACACCAGCTAAAAGGACAACATAGGTATAACTTGGTTCCTTGGTACTAATATTATACAGGCTATACGGATTCTGCCTTAGCTGCACTATTGAGATGAAAGATATTGATTGTTGTGAAACCAAGGCATAGAATGAGAAAATCTAAAAATTCAGTAAGTACGGATATAACTCCCTAGTAGACTCCATTGAACTTCCATGTCATACAAGTCAAACTGAAAACATTTTTGAAATTTAGAAGACAGGTTATGTCAATTTACCAACCGACAAACTCCACTAAAATGCCTAACCATTTCCTTTTTGCCTTGTAAGGTGATAACCAGAAAAAAAAAGGGGGAAAACAGGGGAACAAACAAGCCATTTAAAGAAAAAGAGCAGCAAAAAATCTATTGTGAAGCCAAGACAGGACTCTACTGACATAAGATCTCTATCAATGACATATAGAAGGTTATGGGTGTCAACTGACAGTATTCACCAAGCTTAAGTGACACAGCTTAAACTCTACTAAAGTATCCTCTCTCAATCAAGCCCAACATTCGCACAAAAATGGACAGAGGAAACACCAATTCAATTTACGGAAATGCTACTACTCCCCATCTAACATGGAGTAATGGACTGATTTCATTCTTAGCATTACAGACAGCCAGCAATGCCTAAAGCTACTAATACAAGAAAGAATCAAGCAACACTACCTGACACATCAGGTGAAACTCTCCTTCCTCTGGATCAATGCCAAAATCTCCCGACGCTTCTAAAGGGACATTACCAAACCAGCCACTTGCATTGTGTAAAAACACTCGTTGAGCACGAAAACATAAACTTGCAGAAATGTCCTGCAAAAATCCCAAAATAGAGCTCTTCCAAATTGGTGATAAGAATTATTTCAAGAAGCAAACTTAACATAATGGACAACAGAGATGGTTGTAAACATAACATTACAAGCCTGAACTAATTTTTGGACAACAGAAATAATCACAGAGAATGTGCAGCAATTGACTTTCGAACAGTTTTCGCATCTTTATGGCCAAAGGTAATTCCACTAAATCTTGAATGGAGCATAGTGCAAAAAAGATATAAACCTCTAGAAAACTTAGAATGAATGGCCAACCACGTGGAATGAATACAGGCAGTCAAATCGTAGGGGAAATTGCTTGACAATGTTATCCAACCTAGTCCACAACTTTTTCAAACTTCTCTATTGTTTGCAGGCACCTTACAGGTGAGGTCATCACATGTCCAACACTAATTTCTAAACTTCTGCAGTAGCATGAATTAGATTGGAGAGAGACAGCATGATGATTTCCCACTTGGTCATTCATAGCACTACATCACTGGATAGACAGTTTAGATATTACTTGGATTGTGGAGGTTGTGCTTCACCAGCATGACCTGGTTCCTTTACCANTGAGATTGGAGAGAGACAGCATGATGATTTCCCACTTGGTCATTCATAGCACTACATCACTGGATAGACAGTTTACATATTACTTGGATTGTGGAGGTTGTGCTTCACCAGCATGACCTGGTTCCTTTACCATAATTTTTTTCTTCAGTCATGAAGAACTGATTGGGAACGCAAAAGGATTGGATGAAGCTTTTGGTTGGAAGATTAGAATGTAGGCATTAATTTCAGGAATATTTCCTTACTAAGTCCTAACAGGTGGACCATGCAACTAATGGGATGAATAATAAGAAGAATAAGACAAATGCATATCAGTGGCTCCAGTGGGTTACCCAAGGAAAAGAATCAGCCTCTGCTGATTCATTCATTCCTGCTAGAACTAGAAACAGAGAAATGGTAAGGCTAAGCGGTGGAACACAGCAAGACTAACACTCCATCCACACCGCCCTCACAGCATCCAGATGTCGTTGGCACCCTCTCCTGCTCCAAAAGCAAGCCGACCCGCGATTGAATGGCATCCTTCCAAACCTGTGCACCAGATGAAGGAGGGACTTCATAGCTCCAACCTAGTTTTGGGCGTACCTAATTATGGAAAAGGAAATGGGGGCTTGGAAGAAAGCTTTTTTTTCAACAAGGACTTGTGTATTAAATCTTCTTTTTTCGATAAGAAACATCAATTTTATTAATAACTGAAATAAAAACAGTAATGCAAGAATCAATCAAAAGTGGACAAGTCGTCCAACCAAATGATTAGTACAATATAAAATAAAAAACAAAAAGCTTGATAATTGAATCCAAGTTATAATCCACACGCCCTCCAACTCACCGTGATACTAAATAAAGGAATATTATCAAAGTCCCTTGTCATGGATGCCAAAAAAAAAAAGTGTCGAACCCATAAANACAATATAAAATAAAAAACAAAAAGCTTGATAATTGAATCCAAGTTATAATCCGCACGCCCTCCAACTCACCGTGATACTAAATAAAGGAATATTATCAAAGTCCCTTGTCATGGATGCCAAAAAAAAAAAGTGTCGAACCCATAAACCCTCGACATCATCCCATTTGTCTTCAAATATGCTCGCATTTCTCTCCATCCATAGGACCCAAATTGTCGCAAAAAGAGCATTATGCCAAAGAGTCTTCCCACTTCCACTTCCCCCTAAACCCATAAAGTCCAAACAAATCATAGATAATATAGATCTTGGAGCCACCCANTTGACATCATCCCATTTGTCTTCAAATATGTTCGCATTTCTCTCCATCCATAGGACCCAAATTGTCGCAAAAAGAGCATTATGCCAAAGAGTCTTCCCACTTCCACTTCCTCCTAAACCCATAAAGTCCAAACAAATCATAGATAATATAGATCTTGGAGCCACCCAACAAAGATTTAATAATTGTGTATTAAATCTTGAATCCCAGCTTTCTCTTAAAAGTAGTAGAGATTATTCACCAACTAAGCAATATATTTTCCAATCAATAGATTCACCCAAAAAAAATATCAGTCATTCATTGTCTGTACCCTAACTTTTCTTTTCCACTGAAGTGAGATGATGTCCTAAAGGAAGAGATGGTCAAACTATGGGATGGTGAGACATGACGGACAGAGTGTGCTTAACATGANGCCATTCATTGTCTGTACCCTAACTTTTCTTTTCCACTGAAGTGAGATGATGTCCTAAAGGACGAGATGGTCAAACTATGGGATGGTGAGACATGACGGACAGAGTGTGCTTAACATGATCCATATCATTTATCCCACTCGGACTATTTTCTTAATTTAGAAATTTAAATATTATTAGGACATATAAGGTTTATTTTCTTAATTTAGGAATGAAAATATTATCATCATTATTTTGATGTAATTTTTAGATTGGGTGATTCAAGGGATTGTCCATAAAATATTAGCCTTGACTTATGTAAGGAAGACTTAGTTTTGCATTTGGCATATTGTTTGGGAAAGAAATGGACTTTTCTCGGTCCTTGTGTATCTGTTTCCCTCTGCTGTCCATCTTCTTCTTCTCTTTATTTCTCTAATTCTTCCTTCTACCATTCTTTCTCTTCTGCTCCTTTTCTCTTTTATGCATCCCTCATGGAGGTATGTATTACTTGCATAATAAAGTCAAGGAAACAAATGTGAATCCTAGTTCCAACCTTAATGCAGCAACACAGTCAAGCCATCCAGACACGTCTTCTTCCATGTACTTCCTTACCTACTCTCTGCTCAGTGACACTACGGCACCAACGTTTTCCCTTTCATCTTCATCATTACAACTGCAATCCCTAAGGTAACCTTATAACATAAATTGGTGGTTATGCAATCCAAAGAAAACCCATCATCAGCATCTTCTTCAAGCATATAGATTACACAGCTAATTTGTTAAGGCACACATCCTGGAAGTCACGTACATACGTAGAACCTGCTTAATGTTAACAAAGATACTGAAGTTATGAAAAATCCATAAAAGAATTACAGTTATAATAATTCCATCAGAGAGGCATTCTTAGCTTCATGCCTCTACCTCAACGAACTGACAAATCCCTGGAAGAACTAAGAGACACTTATGCCACCAAACATCCCCTAGTCATCAAATCACTACAAAATAATGTCTATTTACCTAGGCAAGTGAGGATATATAGAAGCAATGACATGAAATTAACTGAGTGATTTTAACACATCGCAACCTTCTGCCAAACAAAGTAATGTTCTTGCATAGCCATCAATAATGTGGTACTAATAGATACAGTAGAAGATAGATTTTTGGGGAGAGAGAAGACACAAGCATGGCACAATTTCAAAAAATGAAACTAGAACATACAGAAAACCATGATGGAGCATCAAATATTTGAAAAGCCAACCCTGTCACATCAAGCTGTCCATGAAGATTAGGAAAAGTCTCTCCTCTTGACATGCATATGTGAACCTGAAACATGCAAGTTCCTGGTTAGCAAAAAAATATGCAGAATTGATCCTATTTATGAAACATATTAAGTACCCGCACGAGGAAAGTGAATATGCATTACTAAACAGAAAAAACCAAGAAATCAGAACCTAAATGTTTGTTCTGTGATCCAATGAACAGTCCAAAGAACACAATGAGCATGTCAATACGTTCAAGTGAAATACATTCCGAAGACTTCTTGAGACACGATTATATAGCATGGCATACCTTCAGAAGACAATAAATAATGTTATTAGACCAACACCCTGAATTTCAAGACAGAATTTATATAGTTCGGAAGTTACAGAAAGCCGATTCATTTTTGACAACTAAAAGTGACTTGGATGCTACAGGAGCATCACTTACTAACTATAGGTAACCAAGATCCATACCTCCTAAAAAAACTCTAAGAATAGGACTAAGCTCAAAGGGTAGTAGCCTTCCATCCAATAAATGAAACATACAATAGTTATTGATATTACCTATCGATGGGCATCTTTGTGCCCTCAACAATCCTTCAATTCCTTAACTTCCATACACACAAAATAATGCTAAATAAATCAAATTCCACATCGCCCACATCCCCCTCCTTGGGCAGCTCCCCCTTCAACAGTCCAACAACTCCCTACAGGAATCAGGCATCTACTATGCCATACAAGAAAGTTAATTAATGCATATCTCAAAGCCAAACTTGCCTTATGCTTACAGATCAAAACTATTGATGGTTGGAAAGATTGCTTAATAGCCTTATTGGCCTGATGAACTGTGGTTCATTTGTCTTTAAACATTTCCTCGTTTCCTTGCAAGAATCCGGCATCTCCTTTTTCCATTTTTTCTTTTCATCAGCTCAATCTGTTTACCATCAAATATTGACAGTAATGGTGGCAAAAACCCCAAGACACACCAATAATGCTATGGCTAAGAAACAAAGGAAAAATATTATATACAAAAATTTCCCAAAATATTGAATATACATTATTATCAATAATATTTGGCTGTCATGGGATCCAAGTTTTTTAATATCAGCTGGGTTAACTTGAGCCTGCGGTAAATCATGCCTTCCAAATAGTTAAGGCCGAAGTGGGCCCAAGACAGATCTTGGCAGCATATCTACGATGATAGCATTACCATCAAGAGTTACACCATACTAATGGTCCTCACAATAGAAAATTTCCCACGTGCATCTATGCAGCCATTTTTTAATCAAAGATGTCTCCCCACCTATTAAAGCAACACCGATATCTTGGGTATCTAACGGATAACCATGGAAAACCCCAACGAATCCCCCAACTTGTTTCAAAATTATTTAATTAAAAGGGTAAAGCATTCTGAAAAAAATAACAAAATTATCTATTTCCAGTGGTGTAAGCCCGCAATAGGATCAGAAGAATATAACAGCAGTCCTCATGAGGAGTTGAGGACAATATACCAGTCAAAAGAGTTGGAAATCCAGAACCAGACATCAAAAATCAAATCACAATGCAGCTCATGACATTTAAATTCCAGACAAGTAATATGACAGCTTAAATGTAGGAAGATCCCAGTTCATTATGCTCCAAGGGCTGATATGATTCTCTGATAAAATTTGTGCAAGAAATTAAAGTTGGAAAGGCACCTCACCACTGGCTCTCCCTTTAGACCACATGATTGGAATTTCTAAAATCCTTTCAAAAAGCTGCACAAAATACAAACAGCATCCAAAGCCCATAAACAATCCATAAAACTTAAGTGGCAGACAGCAAATTCACAGTCTCTAATGCCGAAAAGCGAAAACAAACTAAAAGAGGGTCCCATGTAATGGTATTCACTGTGTACCCTACCGGAGCAAAGAGATTCACTACTTTCAAATTGGCATGCCATTTCTGCTCCATAATATCAACAAAAACATCTGATGACAACCAGCCACCATCTTCAGATGCCACATCTGATCCCCACATCTTACAGCTGCCACTCAGCTGGACATACACACGCCCATAGTGATTTTGAAACTTTACATGTCCATTGGCATTCTCCATCTCTCTATAAATGTGTAAAAAGTAAACAAGAAGGCATGAAATAAGGCATATCACATTTATAAATACAAGCATTCATCTCCTAACAAAAACAATAAAAAAACTTAAGCCTCATCCTGTACAACAGTACATATTACTCAGGATTTAAGATTGAGTAACAGATGTTAGTCGTTATTGATCTACTGAACTACAACAGAAAAGAAAAAGTATGAACAAGATCCCTGCTTTGAATTGGGCCATACTGCAACTTCATTTACCAGGAAAATTATTAAGTCCAGAGCTGAATTGCATAAAAATGCTTAGTGTGCTCTATGTTTACATAAACTTGATCCAAACAACTTATTTGGCTTGCAAATATTATGCTTACGTTAGGATTTAATAGGAAATTACTTAAGAGAGCAGCCAGGACCAGGAACCTATAAAGGTAGAGGCACCAGGTCATTCAGTCAATGAAGCTGCAGTCGGTTGCTACATAGACGGAATTATCTGTCTCTTTGTGCATCATGGGCATCAAAAGCAGCCTGATGTCCAAGCAGTTCAACCTGTGAAATGGACCCTAATGCTGAAAATATTGCATAATGGAGATCCCGTCATTGGTTGGGGCTCAAAAGTGAATGGGTACAAATTCCAGCTTATTCGTACAAAAGTGGCTGCGCCTCAGAAATCAGTGTCAAACCCCACCTCCAGCTTGTCGGCCCATAAATATCCTATTCTACGTCTAAAGCTTATGATAGTGTATCTTTTGCATCATGGGCAGCAAGAGCAGCCCGATGTTCAAGCAGTTCAAGCCTCAGAAATAGCTCCTTATGCCACGATCATTGCACAAGGCAGATCCTGTCATTGGTTGGTTACTCGTAGCCCTGTCAACGGATTGGAAATGGACAGGATTTTATCATCATCCGAATCCAAACCCGATTACAATTTACGTGATCCGATCCGATTATCCGATGGATTTGAAATTTTTAATCCATATCTGAATCCATTAACTTTCAAATATCCAATCCGGAGATCTAATTCAATCCGTTTATGTACAAAGTAAAATCAAACTACAAATATATCACAAATTGTAACAAATTCAACTCCCGAAAAAAATTATAATACTTACTCATTTGAAGCCTTAACAAGCAACATACACTAAATATGTCAACCTTAATTTTAGTTATAAATAGGGNCTGCAACTTCATTTACCAGGAAAATTATTAAGTCCGGAGCTGAATTGCATACAAAATGCTTAGTGTGCTCTATGTTTACATAAACTTGATCCAAACAACTTATTTGGCTTGCAAATATTATGCTTACGTTAGGATTTAATAGGAAATTACTTAAGAGAGCAGCCAGCACCAGGAACCTATAAAGGTAGAGGCACCAGGTCATTCAGTCAATGAAGCTGCAGTCGGTTGCTACATAGACGGAATTATCTGTCTCTTTGTGCATCATGGGCATCAAAAGCAGCCTGATGTCCAAGCAGTTCAACCTGTGAAATGGACCCTAATGCTGAAAATATTGCATAATGGAGATCCCGTCATTGGTTGGGGCTCAAAAGTGAATGGGTACAAATTCCAGCTTATTCGTACAAAAGTGGCTGCGCCTCAGAAATCAGTGTCAAACCCCACCTCCAGCTTGTCGGCCCATAAATATCCTATTCTACGTCTAAAGCTTATGATAGTGTATCTTTTGCATCATGGGCAGCAAGAGCAGCCCGATGTTCAAGCAGTTCAAGCCTCAGAAATAGCTCCTTGTGCCACGATCATTGCACAAGGCAGATCCTGTCATTGGTTGGTTACTCGTAGCCCTGTCAACGGATTGGAAATGGACAGGATTTTATCATCATCCGAATCCAAACCCGATTACAATTTACGTGATCCGATCCGATTATCCGATGGATTTGAAATTTTTAATCCATATCTGAATCCATTAACTTTCAAATATCCAATCCGGAGATCTAATTCAATCCGTTTATGTACAAAGTAAAATCAAACTACAAATATATCACAAATTGTAACAAATTCAACTCCCGAAAAAAATTATAATACTTACTCATTTGAAGCCTTAACAAGCAACATACACTAAATATGTCAACCTTAATTTTTGTTATAAATAGGGAAGAAGATAGTAGGAAAATAATGTGAGAGATTAAAAGATGTCGGTAGATATTCACTCACGGGATATAAAATATAAAAATAGAAGGTATATATACAATTCGGATCGGATTTAATATATCCAAATCCATTAAATAAAACATAACGGATTCAGATTCGAATAATCGGTAAAAATTATTCATCCATATCCGGTTAATCGGATTGGATTCGGATCAAAATCTGATCCATTAACCGGCTTAGTTGCTTCGAAGGTGAATTGGTACAAATCTCACAACCAGCTTTTTCAAGAAAAGCAGCTGCCTTCAGAAATTAGAATTGAAACTCACTTCCAGCTTATCGACCCATGCATATACAATTCTAGTGTTTAAAACCAAGCATACAGTATCTTAAAAGAAAAGAAATAATAATCCTCACCGAAATGAACACAAATAAAAAGTAGAACAGAAATCAAGCTCACCTAGGCTCCGTATCACCATATGCTAGTAGCATCAATGTTCCGCCTTTGAAATGGACAGTATCAAGAGTAACTGGAAGCATTTTCTCAATGCCCAAAGTCTGCTCTTCGTCTAGCCCATCAACGAGTTCTGTGACGATATCTTCAACTTTTGAACCCATATCTGACTTCAGCCTTTGAACAGGACCAGCAAGTAGATAAGACCACAGTTCTCCCATGCTTCTATGCAAAAAAGATAAACCTGATTTGAGGCTCAAGGACCCAGTATATTTTGAGTGATCAAGTGCAGATGAACAGTCAAGCTTCAAGAATTTGGAATCTTCAGACGCATGACCTCCTTGACTAACTGATGTATTACAACAAGACTCTTGCATCTCCCCTCCCACTCTGCTGGATACACCTCTGGAATCAACACCTGTATCAACTCCTAAATATTCAATATTTACATCACAACTGTTGGTTTTTGCAGCTCCCACAACACCACTTCCAAAGGAAAATCTTTCCCTGGAATTTCTAACTGCACTTAGTCTACATAGAGTGAAAAGAAAGGGATCACGAATACAACTGAAACTACTAACATGATAACTAGAATGTTTCCCCTCAGGAAAAAGTTGGATTCCTGAATTTTCTCCACCTTCAAGATCATTACCCATGTTGTTCCCCGGGTCTGACATTCCCTTACTAGTTGAATAATCGACTGCAGCTTCAAACTCTCCATTCTTACAATTGTCGCCCTCACCAAGATTATGTGGCCCATCCTGATCATCAGCTCCCATATCTTCGTCATAGCTAGCAACTGCAGAAACAGAGGCAGTAGGATTACTCTCACCTCTCACAAGAAGAGTCTCAAGATTCAAAACTTCAGAACCTCCAGATGACTGAATATGATCCCCTATCCCAGGAGACGGACCACGGAAGTACGCACAAGCTGCTGATGCACTACGCTCAAGAATTCTTCTCTTAGCTGTAATACCAGCTCTGGATATATCTCGCCCATTAGGCTTCCTTTTAAATTTATGCCTAAGGGGGCCCGGTATAAATCCAGACAAAAATTTAAANCTCCCATTAGGCTTCCTCTTAAATTTATGCCTTAGGGGGCCCGGTATAAATCCAGACAAAAATTTAAATCCAGAGCCTGGAATCCTTACGCCAAACGATTTCTCTAAATCTGCATGTTTTAAGTCATACTCCACACCTGCATCCATGCAGTGATGATCTCGCCAGTGCAGTTTCTCATCCATGCAAAAGAAAGGCTCTGAGGTTACTAACCTCATCGGAGGGCTTGCATTCTCCTTCAGAACATCAACCCCAAATGGAATGGAACCTCCATCAGCAACAACATAACCCTTGTCTGCAGCTTTCCTAGCTGCATCATCTCTCTCTTGGACAAAGTGAGCAGCTGCTTTCTCTCTAGAAGTTCTCCTAGTTTTCGTCCGATAATCAATTCCTTCTTCAGTTGACAAGTGCCTCTGTGCAATGCCATCGGTGAAGGGTATTCCTAACCAAGTATAATTCTTTTTTTGAGCAATCAACAAAGTTGGATTAGACAAAACAGCATCAATCACAATCTTTCCCCTCCTTAGACTCGCAAACGGAAGAACCCGTAGTTTAACTGTGGGGACCTCCCCGCAGGAAAACTCTTCCTTATGAGGCCCAATTGAGCACGATTCCAAGGTAATGCTTAAAGGTGAAATACTTCGAACTTTGCCAAAATCAAGTTCACGTTGTATATAATCACTTAGTGTCAAACATACAGAAGGCAGAAGCTTGGCTTCAACATAACTTTTGGCTTTCGACTGCCCATACCATACCAACAAGCACACCCCAGATATCACAGCACAGAAAATAGAGCACCGGACTATAAATAACCCCTCTTCCCACAATGGAGACAATGATTTAACCAGAGCTTTACTACGAGCAAAAGGTTCTTGTACACATTTCACCATCAAACTGCTCCTCCATAATAGCTCTACATTTCTACCACAAAAATGAGACAGTTTGATCCCGTGAGGAATCCAATTATTTTTATTTGCACATGTACACTTGTGTAAAAAATCTTTGGGTAGTTTTACTTTGTCCCCATAAACTGATCTGCGATTAAATCTTCCATTTACACAGCATGGAGGTGCAGCCCCAATAAACGGGTTGTGAAGTCTAANGAAAAAAATCTTTGGGTAGTTTTACTTTGTCCCCATAAACTGATCTGCGATTAAGTCTTCCATTTACACAGCATGGAGGTGCAGCCCCAATAAACGGGTTGTGAAGTCTAATGCTCATTATCTCGACTTACACGCTTTGGCCCAAATTCCAACTCATTCGCTTTGCCGGGGACTAAGAACCTGCTCTTAGTCCCCTAAAATTCAGTTCATTAACCAGTGCCCAAACAATAACCTAAGCAACAATGAAAAGGGAACAACTCCAATCAACATTTTTAACCAAATCAAACATACCCATCAGATATGATTCCAAAAACAACGACAACAAACTTATCAGATGTTTGCCGAAGCCAACATAGAAAGGGTTGACACAACCAAATACACACAGACCTCTATAAGTATGTAACCAAATACTAAAGCCTCAGTAAGTTCCAAATTCCTAGCCAACCATGTTCTTTTTAATCAAAAATTTAAAAATACACACAAATGGTAACCTACCTGAGCTGTAGGAACCTAATTCAAAACACTAGTGAGTGAATACATGTGCATATATATATTAATATAAAATCGAACCTGTGTGAAAAGAATTCAACATTTATCTTTCCAATTTTCAGATATTGATTCTCGTTGTATGCGTTCTTTGATTCTCTCGAGTTCGTAAACACAGCTCTAGAGAGAGAGAGAGAGAGAGAGAGAGAGAGAGAGAGAGGCGTAGGCGTTTGCGTTTGCGTTTGCGTTTGCGTTTGCTTTGGTCGCTCGCCAAAACCAGCTTCGCCGGGAGAAGGAACGAAGAGCTAATATATTAGGGTAAGTATCATTTATACCCTCTTACATTTGATTTTAGTATACAGACATCTCTTTACATTTTAAAAATGACACCGACCTCGTTTAATAATGTACACANACATTTGATTTTAGTATACAGACATCTTTACTAATAAGATAGGACTCATTTTGAATCTTTTTTTACTTTAAAATTTAATTTATTTGAAAAAGCATAAGAACGACTCAGATTAAATCCACTTTTAATTCAAAGGC